CATTTATTCACTAAAACAAATTATTGATTTCTATACCATCATAAAGCAAATGATTAAACTGGTAATTATGATAATTTCAAACAATGATAAATGTAAGTAATGATAATTTATAAAACTCAGAGTGAAATGGAAAGGGATGACAAAAGGAGAGGTCGTCTCCTAAGAGAAGTCTCTTTAAGAGGTCTCTCCATTAACTGAAACCTGAGATGAAAAGGAAGCAACAGTTGTGACAGTTTTCACGCAACCAACACCAAAACTCAAAGCTCTCAACTAAGAATGTGATTGAATGTTTGAGGCATGTTTACTGGGTAGGAAGTGGACACAGTGATATGAGACACAATATGTGATTGGGGAAATATGCAGAGACTGTATCTCATATGGGAAAACATTCAATAGGAAGATAGCCATGGCTATTAAAAGAACAAAAGTCAGAACCTAACCAAATGCTCCACAATAGGATAGTGATTAAATATGTTACATAGGCATATGGTAGAATGTTATTTTTAATGGGACAATGTTTATATTGCAAGTGGAAGCAGTAACTCTGGAATTTATTCTGGGTCCAATAAGAAGCCTAACTTAATAACAAAGAACTGATCTATGTACTTTAACACAAACAAAATTTTGATTGTTAGGTGTATCTATTCAAAAAACAAATCTGACCATGCACTCTCCCCACCTCACTCCTGCTTAAAAGCCTTCAATGCGTTACACTTGCTGCTAGAACATATTTGTGTTCATCCATAACAAAGCGAACTACAAGATCTTTCTGCATCGTGTCTACAGCATCGAGTTGCACCACGCTTGTACTACCCAACATCAGCCTCAAAGGACTTTTCTTGGCCCAGTTTATGTACCATGATCCTCTCTCACTCTGTACACTCCTCTCCGCCTTCCTTTATTCTTTGCTTGCTTGGCTCCTACTTATCTCTCGGCCGTCACAAGAACTGTCCCTGCTCTAGCAAAGACTTCCCTGACCAGTGTCTCCCCTTGGCAATAAACCAGTACAGTATAAGGGCTAACCCCTGCCACCTGCCCCAAGGGAGTATATTGGAAACAGGGCTTCATGTATACTAAGCAAACATTCTACCACTGGGCTGTATCCTTAGCCCCTAAGAGTTGAATTCTTTTTCTTTTCCCCTTAAATTCTATTATTGGTACATTTTAGATATACAATACAGTTACATTCATCATTGGGAACTTATACCTTTTCATGATGTATCTTGGTTCTTATTTTTTCCCCATTCCCAGCCCTCCCTTCACCCTCTCCACCCTTCCCTATTTACAAAGACTTTGTTTCCATTTTTTCCATTTCTCATAATTTTTCCTTTCCCTTCTTTCCTTTAAGAGTTGAATTCTTAAAATCTAACAAGTAACAAAAATTGGATAAGATGATATATCAGTGTAGGTTTACCTGTTGTAATAAATGTACCTTTCTGGTGAGGGATGTTGGTAATTGGGAAGGTTGAACGTATTTGCAGGTAGGGAATGTGGATCATTTCTTTTTTTTTTTTTTTTTTGCACTTTATTAAATTCTTTTATTGGTACATTGTAGGTATACAACACAATTACATTTCTCATTGGGAATTGTACCTTTACATAATGCGTCTTGGTTCTTATTTTTTCCCCATTCCTAGCCCTCCCTTCACCCCCTCCACCCTTCGGATCATTTCTTTATCTCAGTTTTTCTATGAACTTAAAATTATTCTTTAAAAAGTGGGAAAGATTGGATGAGAAAACAAAATATTGGTAAGTATTTTCCAATGACATTTATATAACTAAATGAAGATCAAGGATAAGAGAAAGTTTACAGTTTATCCACTAATCATTAACTGCATATGGCAGAAATGATTTTAGAACTTATTATTTAATGTAAGGGAAATGGATTATGTATGACATGAATATCTTAGAATTACCATACCAAAAATGAAATATACAGTATTCTGTGCACAGGAAAATAGTTATTATCTGGGAGAATTGACTTTAAAAAATTAAGTATATACTATGAAGTTCTAGCCTATGGATTTAAATTTCAGATCTACACTCCTAGAGTTGTTACATGATTCAGATTTCACACTTCGTGGCTGACAACAATAAAATCATTTCAGTTTTAAATAAGAATAATTTTCAGTAGAAAAATCATAAAATAATATGAAAGAGCAAAAACATGCTTACAAGTAATAAAAGTAGGCAATATTAAAGGATTAGGAAACAGAACAGCTCAAATAGTTGGAATTCATGAAACCATAGTAAGAACTATTTTGCTTATTTTATAAACAATATAGAGAGTCACTGGTTAAGTAACTTGTCCCATTATATCCAGGTTACAAATGCCAAAAAACCAAAAATCAAATACTATATAGGTCTTCTGGCTTTGAATCTATGATTTTGCAAAAGTATGGGGAATTTCTACATTTAAATGGAATAAAAAATTAGTGCAAAGTATTTGAAAACCAGTATGGCATTTTGTATATAAAAAAAATCTTTATAACTTAGGAACCTATAATCTCTCTTTGCAATCTATTGCAAGGAATTAATATAGTAGTAGTAAATAATGTACATGAAGATATCCATGGCAACACTTTAATTAAAAGACCAAAAGTTGGAAGCTACCCAAATGTTCCACAATAGGATAATGATTAAATATGTTACATAGCCATATGATAGAATGTTGATTTTTAATGGGAAAATACTGATGTGCGACTGTAATGTTAGAGAAAGAACATACATTATAGGCACATTATCATAAATATATTAAGTTTATATAAGAATGTAAGAAGGGACCCACAAAAAACAACTATGTGAGGGTAATGAAATAGATTGTATGTACTTCAAATTTTAAATATTTATATCTCCTTAATGTTTTTAACTTCATTACAAGTGGTTAGATATAGGGCTCAAAGTTTATGAGTGTATGAAATCTATACCTGGGGAAAAGATCCAATGAAGAGAGTTTCAAATTTAGTAATCTCAATTCCAGCTCATCAAACTCTAAAGAAGCACTATATTCACTCCAACTCTCTCCCACATACACAGATAAATGATTATAATTTCATTGTGAATTATCAGCTCTCTCATTCTTTTTTGATGTTTCAAATTTATATGTACTGCCACAAGAAAAAGAATGGATCTTCAAAACTAGAAAAATCTCAACCTCTTTGTTTCAGGTAGTTTTTAGTAAAGACAGAATATTTTTTCTCAGAATTTGTTACTTAAAAGTATTTTGTATTTTCTTGGGATATTTAATTTTGTGGTGGTTAATCAGAACATTAAACATGCAATATTTAAGAGTTCAGAATTTATATGAAAATCTATTTGCATCAAAATCTATTTAATTCAATCACATTCAGTTTCCTCAGTAATATTTAAAGTAATGTGACTGTTGAAGGGATATTGATGCAGAGAAAAGGAAATGAGATATATTCCTGGAAAGCAAGATATGCAGTTGTTCATGCAACAATTTCTTGCCAATTTTTTAACTAGAAATAATTTTGAATTTTTTTCCCTTTAAAACTATGCTCAGATATCAAATAAGATAAGCTAATTCTTGGAGGTGGGAATAAAGGTGGTAGCAGAATATAAAAGATGTTATTAGTGGCTTCTGGCTTTTAAAAAATACCAGCTTTCTGAAGTTCGGTTACTCAGCTGTGTTCTTGTTCAATTTGGTGAAGAGACAGCTGAAAAATAGGATTTGATCATCTTATTAGCCTTCTTTTATATATAAATTAGAGATCTATATAGATATATCAGGCAGGGTTCAGTTGTAAAGAGTTCAATTACTCCAACTAGCTTCAGCAAGAAGTGTTTTATGATGGGCATTAAATGGTTTACAAAATTATTGAGAGTTAAATTAACAAATATGCCAGGTGATCTTTCAAGGATGATTCTCAAATCCAATCTTTAAGATTAACCACAAAATACAAGGAGAAAAACATCAGCTGCAGAAGCACATGCTGCAGTCTTGGCAAGAAAGCCACCATGATCTGTATGGTGTGAAACAAAGGATATCATTCCCATCTCAGGGACTCCCTATTGTTACCAGTTCCAGAATCCCATTGGGCCTGCTATAATTTGTCTTCCCTGTGCCCTGTTTGTTGATTCCCACTAAGGCAACGGCCAGGCAATGAGAAATGTTCTAACGCTGCTGCTAAGGAAAACAAGGGAAAAAATGCTTCCATTACTGTGCTTGCCAGCAAAAAGGCAGAAATGGCAAAGGTCTGCCCTTTGTCTCACTTCTACTTTCAAATTTCATGCACCTGCGTCTGAATAGTTGAACCTAAAACTCATCCAGAACCCTAACTGTAAGGGAGTCTTTGAAATATGAATTTTAGTTTTCTATCCCCATTAGTATAGAAAGGGACACTAGATTAAGGGTAAAATAGATGTTGATAACTACTGTGCTCCATCTCTTTGGTTACTCAACACACCCTTGCTCCATTCAACAGCTCCCCAAAAGCATCAATGAGTAACAACAATTTTTCCATGCTCTCATAGTACAAATTTCTACTTTACAAATTAAAGTGTAATCACCCTCTCCTCAAGAGGGAAAACCAAAGAACATCCCATCAGTTAATCTGTCTAAAGGTAAAAGGTTACTCTTCTCAAGAAATAAATTAGAAAGTCACTTACCAATAACACTATACACAACACCAGAAGAAAGGAAGAGGCTAAAATGATTTCATATTTACAAATTCTGTATAGCCAAAATATTACCAAGAAAAAATAGCAGTAATTACTATAGTTTTCACTTCATAACACTGCAGTTGCAGTTTGTAATTTCCTTCCTCCTCTCCCTATTCTTTTTTTTTTTTTTTTTTTTTGGTACCTGAGATCAAACTCGGGACCTTGCACTTTCGAGGCAGGCGGTGGAACCACTGAGCTAAATCTCCGGCCCTTCTCCCTATTCTTTTTTTCTTTATTACTTAAATTCTTTTATTGGTACATTTTAGGTATACAACACATTTACATTTCTCATTGGGAACTTGTACCTTTACATGATGCATCTTGGTTCTTTGCCTACAGCCAGCACATAGGCTGGCTGGGACCCTTAAAATGTCATAGTAATCCACATGCTCATTCTTGAGATCAGAGCCCAGCTGGAAGTGGCCATCCTAAACATGCTCTAGACTATCTCTAGATTCCTAACTCCTCAGGGCCCACACTGTATACCAGCAATGTTAGCTGAAACAGAATCTGGAAAATGTTGTGTTTGGCTTTCTAGATTCCACAGTAGACAAAGCACTTGAAAGAGAATGAAGTGAATGCAATGATCAACTATTTTCACCACAGTAACTTGGGAATATGGGGGCAACTCCTCATGCACTGACACAGCATTAAGTTCTTGTGTTGAAGCAAAGTTAAGCCTTAGCTTCACAGAGACAGCTACTGAGTCCAACAAAGGGATCAAGTCTGTTATGAAACCAGCCACCTCATAACCAAGAGAAAAGATCTCAAGGCACAACTGAGCTTTACTAGAACGTTATTTCTTTCTGCCTCTCTCCCATACACTAATTATGTTATTTCTCTACATGTAAACAACTCCAATTCATCGTGGTGCTGTTACCTCCTCTCTATTCAACTGATACAGCTTGTATGATTCATCTTCATGTGAAGCCTAAGAGGAAATATTGTTTATGGTTCTCAGATAATTTATTCAAATTTTCATGGACTTAAATAAATGGTAAATGGTTCAGATAACCTACAAGAGAAAAAGCACTTCTGTCCTTTGAATGATTCTTCCTTAATATCAGGATGCATTTTCAGCCCTTACATGAAAGGGTTTTGCTGCCTGGCTGAGTACTGCAGTGATGCTACAGTTCACACAGGTGCAAAGCAGGCAGTGACCTGCACAGCCATTTGGCCTCATTAGTAAGGTCTGATAACAGAGTCATAGGAGGGTGAGTTCTTCCTGGTGGGGCTTCCAGCAACATCTAAAAAAGAGAACAACATTCAAGCAGTCATAATCCCAGGGGAAACCTTAAAATTAATCTGTCTTGTGATAATGTGTTGACAGGTTGGTTACTGGAAAGACATGGAACAAGAAGATGCAGCAGAAACAGTCAAAACCAGGGGGAATGAGACATTCGTCATCCTGACAGGATTAGAAGGAAATACTTTATATCACTTTACAGTGAGGGCTTACAATGGAGCCGGATATGGGCCACCTAGCAGTGAAGTGAGTGCAACCACCAAGAAATCCCGTAAGTGACCTGAGTTTGTTTGTTTCAGAAAAAAGGGCAGCATATTTTCATATTTCTTAAAGCTGTGCAAGGTACATAAGCAGTCAAAGGGGAGTTTCGATTCATAGTCTTGCTTCAGTGCTTAGATCTAAATTCCAAAACTAGCTCGGAAAATTTTGCATTCACCATAGATAAAGGTTATCTTCCTGGGAAACAAGGCTAAGCGATTTTGACACAGAAGGGAGATAAAAGGATTCAAGTTCAAAAGCTAAGTAGAGTAGCTATTAAAATGACACTCCTGGAAGAAAACCCTCCTTATCTGACTCCAGCTGGAAGGAAGCCTATGGTGTCAGCCAACTACTAAACACATGAAAAAATTGAAATACTGAAAAAGATTTAAAGAAGAAATGTATTTGAGAATCCATGTGAGTTCACTTTCACTTTGTATTTTGCAGCCCCTAGTCAAGCACCTAGCAACCTCAGGTGGGAGCATCAAGGGTCTCAGGTTTCTCTGGGCTGGGAGCCCGTCAGACCTTTAGCCAATGAATCTGAAGTCCTGGGTTACAAGGTTAGTGTTTCTTTATCTCTGGCTTACATGCTCTAAATTATTATTATGAGAATGGACCATTAATGAGGCATAAAAAGACCCACTAACAAGCCTTCTGTCTTCTATAAGTCATTTTTAACCTATGTTTTATGACAAAAATCTTCCTATAGGCAGGGAAGCCAAATTGAGTTTGAATTGCACAAGGCATAGGAAATGAAGGAATAAGAATTGAAAAAGCAACAATTTAAATTTGGTATGAAGATATCTCCATAATTCACGGTACCAGGCAGAAGATCCTGGCACATCCTCCCCACAAACTTTGCTGTCAAATGGCAGACACTGGGCATTTTAGATTGCATAGAAAAGCTATGACCAAAGAACAGGGGAAGGAAAAAACGCTAAGGTCAGCTCATAAAAGAGGAAAGAGTCCATGGTAAGAGATAGCAACCTCCAACTCATATACATCTCTTACAGTCATCCTGCCATATGCCAACAAGAGATCTGAAAATATGAAACATCTGCACAAACGTATTAGTTCAATATTATTTATGATAGAGTTGAAAATATTTTAATGACAATATTTAGACTGTAAAGAAATCTTTGTACATAGGTTTTCTATCTGAGATGGTAACAGTATTTTGTGTATAAAGTGTTGATATTCTGAAGCTAAAAACTGAAGCAGTTATAAATGTTATATGTTATAGTAAGTAGCTCCTGTTATTTTAAGATATGGCCTGTAGCATTTCTTACTGTAATTAGTATGGATCACAGACATGCTCATGCTCAAGCCTGCATACATGCAAATCTGTCCTTAATCCTCAAGGATATTGAATTTGATCTTTAAGTAGGTGAGTCATTTTCTGGACCTTTCCCTGAGCCATGTCCTTTTATATCCTTTCCCAGAAGTTTATATCCTCACAAATTGCCCTCTAAGGCAAATACACTTTTCTATTTTTAGGTGTAGCAGTATTGCCAGAAATGTTGGCAGGTCGTTCTAAAGTCAGTCTAATATGAGAACCATAGCAACCAATATCCCAAGCTAGTAAAGCAATGTAGAATGCAAAAAAAGAGCAAGATAAAAGCATAGAAGATTCATGAGAGAAATACATGGTTATGTGAATCCATGCAGTTGGGCATGGGTTCCCAGGCTAGATGCCCCTACTATTTGCTCACTGTTAATTCTTCTGTCTCTGCTCTTCCATTTTATATGTGACTGGTCTCTCTGACTGATCTCCTTGACTCTATTCTATTTTCCTCTTCATCCTTAGTGCTTTTAGAATGGCTTAGTAAATTAATTTTAACTCATTTAGGAATGTTGTATGCAATTACTGGTCTATATGCATCTAATGTATCTTTTCCAGCATGACTTTTCCATTTGTTATGGTGTAGTGAATAAAGACCACTGGCTTAAGTCAGGCAGACTTCAGTTCATACTGTAGTTATATAACTTTGAATCAGTTGTTTAACCTGAGTTTCATCTCCTTAACTTCAAAAATGGTAAAAGAGTAGCAATAATGCCTATCATACAGAATTATTTAAAGAATTTGATTGTTTAAAATGCTTGACATTTACAAGGTGTTCATTTAAAAATACTATGTTTTCTATTTGTTATTGGAGAAGAGTGAGTAACTAGGTAAAAGTTTTAAAATAACAAAATAAACTGATAATTAAAAGTTGCCCACCAGTTTTCTCTAAATAAAGACGACACAGGTTACCTTGGAACATCTTCTTGCTATGGGAAGAATCACAGTCACAGTCCATCTCAGTAGTATAAGCTAGTGATAAGCAGGCACACATTGCCAGAAGAACTTTTTCTTTTCATTTCCTTGAAAGTGTACTTTCTTACATCCCTGAGAAGAAAGACTGATTCCTATGAAAGGAGTCTGCCAATCACAAATGGAGACCTCCAAACTTTGTTTTGCAACCAAATTAAAATCTCTCTTACACGGGACAGTCTTGAATGACAGGACCACTGTCATTGAAGGTCCATTGAAGGAAAGCAGGCTTATCACTGGTTACTGGGCCTGGAACAGAGCCTGGATTCTCCTGGAAAATTCTGGTTTACCCAGGGAAGTTGCTAAGGATGAAAGGTTTTCCTGACACAGGGAACATGGGAAAGAAATGTAATTACAAATATTTGCTGAAACATAAAAAGTAAAGAGGTGTAAATCTGGAGAACACAGATGTGGAACCCCTTCTCCTGAACTTGACTTTGAGAACACCTGCAAACTAAACATGGGTCTCCACAGGGCTGTTAAAGAGTTGTTCTTCTGGTTAGGAAGTGCAGAAACACAGGACAGCCAGGCTGGATGCAATATTCAAGAGGGCAAAGCATCCCATTTGATTCCTACTATATCCCAAAAAACACTGCCAGACCAAGAGTGGAACCATGGTAATAGAAGGCCACCTCTTAAGCCTAGCAGTGTGTAGCGGTCACAGAAGTCTAACAGAAGTAGGGACACAGTACATAATCATTTCTCTTTCCATACGATAATTAATTTGAGACTGGACTGATCCATTAAGACAATTTGCTTCTGAGATTATTGGAAAGTTTGAGGTAAAAGGCTTCTCAATAATCAGGGAAAGGGAGACTTTCCACAATTAATTAGAATATCAAAAGGGAATGTCATAAACCAGGCTTGATGACTCACCCTGTAATCCTAGCACTGAGGATGAGGCAGAAAGTTTACAAATTGAAAGCCAGCCTGGCCTACATGATGGAACCCTGTAAGTTCAAAACCAGTCTGGACTACATAGTGAGACCCTATCTTTAAAAAAGGAAAAAGAAGAGGAGGAGATTTTCTTTTTCTTTTTCGCTTTGTCTTTGACAACTATTTTACTTTAACAAACCAAAGGAATTTCTGTAAATATTCATCGTATATAGGTTTGAGGTTGGGAATTTGGAGTCAATGTCTGAGGTTTAAAATTCAGGGATTGTGATTTATATCTTTTACATCAAGTCCAGTTTAAGATTAACAAAGTCAGAAAATTCTTCACCTACAAGTTTTCCAGATTATGAAAATAAGTGAGAAGTGGAAAATGATGCATAAATAATCCACTAAACCCTTTTAATAATTAAAATACTGTATATAAGAGAAAATTCATTCTCATAATGTATACCACAAAGTTAGCGTAAGATAAAATAAAACAAGAATTTGACATTAATCCATTTTCTAAGAAAGCATACCTCTTAGTCCATTTATGAAGCTGTAGCAGAATATCTGAGACTGGGTAATTTATAAATAAAGTTAATTTATTCTCTCACAGACCTAGAGGTTGAGAAGCCCAAGATTAGTGCTCAAGCACATTTGCTCCTCCAGACAGGGAAACGCTGTGTCCTCCCAAGACAGAAGGTAGAAGGGTAAAAGGGCCAGAAGCTGCATGAAGACTTGATAAGGGCCTTACTCCCAGTCACCAGGGCAGGAACCCTCAGGACCTAATTCAGCTCTCAAAGGACTCAGCTTTTCATATCACATTGGCAACACCTGAATTTTGGAGGCACCACATTCAAACCAGAGCAGCAAGTATTTCACTTCTTCACTTGATTTCAGAGATTGAGGTGTCAACAACATGAATAACCAGAAGATATTACCAGAGAAAGAGATCATGTAAGAAAGGATGTTAGAGAAAAAAAATTCTCCCCATCACAAATTCTTCTCAGGGGCTGGGGATTTAGCTCAGTGGTTCAGGTGCCTGCCTCGCAAGCACAAGGTCCCGAGTTGGATCCCCAGTACCAAAACAACAACAACAACAAAAAAAACCCACAAATTCTTCTCAGGATCCTCGAAAGTAAATAAGAATTCCATAACAGAAGGATGGAATTGAGCCATGTGTGGCTGTCACAGGTAACACATTAAAATTGAGTCCATTCATAAACATTAAGCATTACCTAGTGGTGAAATTTCTCACTGCTTTATTTTTGAAACTGTTCAAGAATTTCTGGACTTCTTAGAATTCTACATAAGAAGTCCAGATTTAATAGTAATCATTTCAGGATATCAGTTTTCATTAATAAATAAAAAGAATAGAAGCATGAAGAATCAGAAAAATGTTGGGAAAGAATTGTCTCTTGTTGTAATCGTTAATAGTACAAATTATTCCCATTCAAAACAAATTTCCATTTGGTAAATCAATTGATTTATTTATCATATATTACTATTTCAGGTCAACTAACAGATGCCACTTTATTTTATTTATACTTTCAATGTGGAATCAATTACATATTTTATCAATACATTACTTATAAATGGCTTGGAAAGTAAAATAAAAACTTCAAATGAAAGTTTTCCCAACTTGGTGTATTTTTCCCCAAAATATTTTTAAATGAAGAACACTGTATTCTGATAACTCCATTAGTTTGGGGTTCGTATCCATAGTCCTCACTAATTTTGGCATATGTTATAAATCTGTAACGGCCTTCACTAAAGAAACACTAACAACTAAACTGTGAACTAAGGTGTATTTAGCCATAATTCTTTCTAATGATCTTGAGAATGCAATTTTTATTATTTACCAAAATTATAAATTATAATTATAAAATTATAATAACTATTTTGTCCCCACCTTATTTTCCTCACACAGATTTTTATGCTGATGTGAAAAGGGAAACAAGTACTCAATGCACAGAGGCTGAGCTTTTACATGTGCAAATGTTCACTTCCCAACCAAGAGAAACTTTTCCTCTTCAGAAAAGACACAAGCAATCAGAAAGAATGCAGGACAAGAGCTTCCAGCTCTAAACCAGGAAAAAATAACATTTTGTTTTTACAGTCTACATCTAGAAAATATTCTTTCCTAGACTGACAATGCCTTCACCTTCCCAATTCTAATTTTCTACTTGTTTACAGAGCTAGGGAGAGGAGGGGGAAATCAGGCCCAAAGTTTAGATGTCACATGATCCACCAATACAGACAGAAATTTTTATTTGCTTGTGCAACTTCAGTTTCAACTGGGGCCTTCCAGACTCCTGAAATACATATAAACTTGTACAGATGTTATATTTCACACCATGGAGAATTTTGAAGTCCAGTGCTATTTCTCCATTGCCTCAAGGACTTTAAAAGTCTACGGCCATTCTAATTCTGATTACTTGTATTTTCCAGCTTTTTTTCATGCTTGACTCACCCTATTGATGCTGGGGTTTTAGATTACTTGACCTCTATTATGTTTTTGTTTTTTTGAGACAGGGCCCCCCTACGTAGTTCAGGCTACCCTTGAAGTCACTATGTAGTCCCAGCTGCCCTCAAATTCTTGGTGATCTTCCTGCCTTATCCTCCAGAGTGCTGGGATTATAAACCTGAACCATCATACCCAACCTACTTTCCCTCTATTAGGAAGAATAGTTGTCCATCAACTATTCTCAGGATGCTCAGCTGAGGAATCAGCTTTCACTTTAATAGGATTTATTTTTCTCAGGGACACGTGTAGGCACAGACAGCAAAAATTTATTGTTATATTTTTAGCACGTTCCCCTTAATATTTTGTTACCATAAGACATATAGAACACGCATTTCTAGATCATGCCTTTAAGAATAGCAGTACCAATTAAATTTTTGCTTAGGATCATTTTTAATAACCCAAAGCTCTTGGTTTTTTAAATAGATTTGAGAACTGTCTTGACATTACATTAAAATATTTTCTTTATCCATAAAGACAGCTGTCATTGTCACTGCCAATCTATAAATGTCCATATTCTCAAAGAACTCCCTGGCCTCTTTACTGTCAATAACTGTTTTGACATCCTTGATAACTCTTTAAATCTTATGTTTCTTATTCTCATTCTTTTTTCTAAGTCAGGATTTTAAATTGAGCCAAGATTCCCTAAAGCACCAAAGACTAACCATTAATTTAATTTGACTTTTCACTGTGTGTGTTTACTGTTACATAGTAATGCAGCTACTAGGAGTTATCAGTAAAAACTACATTTAATCTCAAACTCGTTGTGTGACCATTAACTGATTTTATTTTTTGGCTACATTTACCTTTATGCCTAAATCTCAACTGATCCACAAATTTTTCTTCAACTCTGGATTTCACAGCAACATTAGATATGCATTACTGGCTGCATTTTTCTTTGTCATAAAATTATAATTTATTGAACCATAATAACAGTACCTTCTAAAACAGTTACTCCCCTGCCAATCCTCACCAATTTACATACTTTCCCATTCCTGTAAATTTGATTTCTAGTTACTTCATGTAGATGATCAAGTTCTAATTCATTGCACTGCTACAGTCAAAACCAAATCCATAAATCCTTACATAGTTATCATTTTTAAACCTAAACATGCTGCATCCTCCAGGAAGTGTTGCTGACTCCCCAAATCTAAGTATTCACTGTATCCACAACTATGGTATGAATATGCTTCTTATTGCAGTACATATCACACTATATTACATTGCTGATCAGTCTCTGATATTACTGTTTAGTATGATGAGGGCAGGAATCATGTTTTCTGATGAATCTCTAGTACAGCCCTTTCCATGCCCTACAATACATATGTTGTAATGCTCCTATCACTTTGCACTGTGGCTATAGAATTCTCAAAAAGAATTTCAATAGATATAATTACACAGCATGTTATACCTTCATAGAAAGGTCACTTCCCTCTAAATCCTCAGAAGTAAATTTAAATGCATGAAAGATGAAGAAAGTATATATTATTAAAACTCAGAAGGGAGAATCAAGTTTAGGGAAGTTTTAATATATAAACATATTGCCTTTCTAAGGTTTATTTTCTTGTTTGTGAGTTAGTTCAAGCTCAAAACACATTTTCCAATAGAAAAGTACATATATATTTTTATCTAGTTTTCCCAATCTTTTGTGATGCAACTGAAATATTGCTCCATCGCCAGTGAACAATGATATACCAGAAAGAGTAGCTTTTTATGAAGCTCACATGCACCAGGTCCTGTGCTGTGTATTTTACATACACCTCTTTTCATTATTCTAGCAAAACCATGAAAGGTGGTATTGTTTCCAGCACATAGAAAAAAAAACGCAGGTTGAAAGGGGCTAATAATTTGCCCAAATATACCCAGGAAGGAAAATGTAAGAGACTAGTTTAGCATTGTTTTACTTTGTCTTGTAAGAAATTATTTTGAATCCAAATTTGTATGGCTACAAAGCCATAGCTATTTCCATTATGCAAAGCAATCATATTATAACCAAAGACTGTGAAAATGCATAAAAAGAGTGAAAATGAATATATTCAAACATGTCTTAAATGCTCTTATTTCACTACTATACTTCAATTATATTGGACTATTATTGGAGTGGCAAAGAAAAGGGAATAACAGTGAAAGAGCTCGCAAGTGATCATCAGAATACTAACCGTCTAATGAAATTTCAACCTTAACTAGTCACATGGTGTGTACAAACTGCTCAACTAACCAATGGCCTTAATTTTCTGATATGTCAATCCAGGATAATATTTTGTCCTTACTTGCACTTTTCTCATGCATGTATATTCTATTCTAGTACAATGGTCAGAAGTCAAAAAGTCTTAACTTTACTATCCAATGTTGTCCACATACCATCTTACCAAAAAGCAAACCACTACCAGAATAAAAATAAATAAAATGTTAACTTCTGAACCATTTCCAATAGTAAAGATTATTTATATCCTAAACAAATTTTCCCTTGACTCTTTTCAACAATTTGAGGGTGAAAGTTTTCATATCTCAAGATGCTACTTATTCATTTTAATAAGCAGCCATAAAAGATTGTCATAACCTCGGTCCTTGCTACCACTACTCTATCCACATTTCTCACTGTTCTTGTACATCTACTCTCTATTCTATACCCAAACAACATGGTTTCTTATCAGTTAGGTACATTTGATAATCTCCTATTATCTGTCTGGAATTCTTAACTGGTAAATTATAATCATCCTTAAATATTTAATTCAGGTACCACCTCCTATGGAAAATGTTCCCTACAGTCCCAGATAGAATGAAACTATCTATACTTCCATAGCCCCTGATGTATACTTCTACTGCAGGATCTAATGCATGCACTAATTCATTACTTTGCTTGCATACCTGAGTGGTAAGCTCTTTGTTCTTAGCTCAAAATATGATGCATACTGTACTAGACAGACAGTAAACATTTGTTATTTTCAATAGACCATCAAATGGTTAAACTTCTGTTATTATTGGCAGGTTTTTTATAGGCAAGAAGGTCACAGTGACAGCCAAGTTATTGAAACACAAAAACCACAAGCAGTAGTACCACTCCCTGATGCTGGAGTCTATATTATTGAAATCCGAGCATACAGTGAAGGAGGAGATGGAACAGTTAGTTCCCAAATCAGGGTATCATCATATTCAGGTGAGTTTTAACATAATAGGCTTAATTTAATGGCCACTGCCCATGAAAGATGGTGTAAAGCTCATGAAAATTGAATGATGGATTATATAGTTCCATGATTTTTGAGGGGTTTCTCATTTAACTTTGATTTCTAGATAATCCTCCAATTAACATGAACCATAGTAATTTGCTCACAATTGTAGAATTTCCCTAAATCTAGAAAGCAATTTATATTTTCATTAGAATGTACTTAATTGTAAAATTTTCTTCCCTATTCTGGCCTCACCTAGTTAGTACCTTGCTTGCCATGTAGGTTTTGGAATACAGTATTGCTTTTCAGCTGATATTGCCCCATTTTCGAATACCTACTTCTCTATTATCTTGATTACCCTTATTGTTACACAATGGTAAGTTTAAAAGAATGCTTTTGAGATTAAAATTTAATGTTCATTGATTTCTAAACAAATAAAATTAATTAATCAGTTATTATTAGCTTGCTTGACTTTACTGAACTTTTGCTATAAATCAGGCACAATCAAAAGGACTTTACATATGTCATCTTATTTAATCTTAATAATAATCAATAAGTAGGTGAACTTTTTCCTGTTTAACAGAGAAAACTTAAGTAACTTGCCTTACATCACACTATTACTAATTGGCAGAACCATGATTCCAACCTAACCACATATATATCTATCACCACAACCATTATATGAGAAAGGGAAAACTGGTTAAAGTTTTATGAATTTCAAAGAAAGTAAGGATCTTGTCAAGATAGTCAAAAAAAGGAAGCAGATGACTTAATTAGATATTTGCATATATAATTAGTACTAGACAATTTTAATTAAAATACTGTGTAAAATTTTAGTGTTCATTTAATTGAGTAACTATAAGTATTATTTTTTTGGATAATCATTCTCAAGTAGAATTATCTACCTGAAGGGAATTCTCCAGCAATATCTTGTAATCCAGTGTGTGTGGCCACATCTTATTTATATTTATCTGCTTGGAATCAGACCAGAGGCATTGTTTATGATATTTTTTGAGGCTACAAAATGAGATGGATAACAAATTTAATGGAGAAAACAGTAACACCAGACTTTGAGGAAAAGCTATTGGCATAAAACTTCATAAATTATAAAATCTTAAATAAAAACACAAGATGAGATAAATAACATTGAGACAATTGATAAAATTTGACTGTCAATACATTTGATAATATTATATCAACATTAATTTCCTGTTTTTAAGAACTAGTTGTCTAAGGAAATGTCCTGCATTTAGAACTTAAATACATTGGAGTATTTAGGGGAAGGATGTTTGTAATATCACTTCGAAGAGTTGAGAAAAAAATATATATATATTGAGAAAATAATTTAACGTAAGTGATAATATATCAAGAATGAAGCAACCTGGATGAATTCTAACCATCTAATGAAATTTATTATTGAAAATTATTGCAAGATGAATAGTTAAAAAAAAAAAAAAAGAAAAACTGACTTTTCAGAAATTCAGGTGACAAGACCTAAGAATTTTTTGCTAATTGTTTATTTTTTTCAGTTTTTGTTTTTTATTAGTATATTTTCACAGTATATAGGATTACATTCAGTCACACAAAAACTTAATACACTTTATCCTTCCTTTTTAACAAGAATGCTAATAATGGCAATAATGTCTCTGCATTGGTTAATTCATAACTAAACTGTTTGGATGAGGGTACTGAATTTTCCAGAGCAAAACTCAAAGGTTTTTTTAAAAAGTGAAAAAGTTGATGACTTTCCTCTTGCCTCCTAAGTGTCAAATTTCTTGTAAAAATGCAAGGAGCATTTTCTGAGCCCTCATTATGTTCCTGGCATTATGCTGAATGTTTTCCATATATTATTTTATCCTTCCAGCAATCTTTTGAATTAGGAATTTTATTATTCTCTGACCCTAGAAAGTTCTTTTCAACTCTAACACAATAGGATTCTATAGCATCATCTGAATAAGACTAGTGCCAAGCTTGGAAGCACTTATACAGACCTGGATTCTCCCATTATTTTAATTAACTTGTAATTTTAATTAACTAATTTAACTATTTTAACTATATTAACTATATTATATATTTTATTTAACTATATTTAACTATATTAACTATTTTAATTAACTTGTAACATCTATGAAAAAATTTGACAACTTTGATGTTTTAGTTAATAACATTTTGACCAGTGTTACCCCTTTCCTGAGTTTCAATGAAGTAAAATATCACAGTATGATCTACCTTTGACCCATAAAAACTGAGAATGATTGACTTCATTCTTACTATATTTTAAAAATCAAGTACCAAAGAAATGGAATTACTTGCCCAGGTGAAATAGACAGCTGGGTGTGGTGGTACATAACCTGTAATCACAGCACTCAGGAGGCTGAGGGAAGAGGATCACTTTGAGTTCCAGGCCAGCCTGAACTACATACTGAGACCCTGTCTCAAAAAAAAAAAAGTAAAAGTACCAAGTGAAATTGGTAGGTAGTTTTAAAGCTGGAGGCTAGAGCTTAATCCAATATTTTTTTGTGTTTGATCTACTGTTTTTTGTGAGGGGCAGTTGATTGGTTGTTTTTATTTGTTTGCTATACTAACAAGTTTTAGCTTTGTAGATTTTATATAGAACATTGGCTACAGACTTAACAATTTGAAGTGAGATTTCTTCTGTCATGAATGTTGATTTAACAAGAACATGGCCACTTTCAAATATTATATATAAAAAGAATGCTTTTACATTTACCATGTACAGACTACTCCAATAAGGCTTTGTCATCTTGCTTTGTTTATAGCTCATAAGTGGCCATGCACTTCACAATAGATTTATTTTGTACAGGTTGAAATATATTTAACATTCTCCAATATGTTGAGTAATAAGATTATTTCACTGGTTATACAAATTTTTAAAGAAAGGAAGATTTGTCACATGTGTGTGTTTTTGTTGCTGTTTACCAAAGAAATAATTCTTTAGCTTTTATGCACACATCTGGAGAATTTAGACTCTACCTTTGTAACAAAAATCAACTTTATGATCCACTTAAATTAAATCTAATGAGGAAACATAACTTGGCAGAAGATTCCAAAAACTGGACAGTAAATTTTATCTTTATTCTTAAGTTTATAACCAAAGCCCATCACTTCTTTAAGAGATATAATACGTTAGAGCATCTACTATTCCCCATAGATTCCTATAGAATCTACTATTCTCTCGCTTAAGTAATTTAAGCAAATTCTACAATTTAAGTACTAGTTTTTTCATGTGTAACAAGAGTATAAAAATGGTATTTAACAAATAAGAATGTTTGAGATTCAAGTAAAATTATACGTATAAAAGGCCTAAAATACTGTTTGTCATATAGTGAGCATTCATTAAATGCCAATCATAATACTTCAGAAGACATCTGCCCTGAAGAACCATTCTTGAGATTAGCATCCAAAAGTTGTTCCTAATTTGTGGCCATGAGGAGTAATTAAGACTACTTCAGACTGATCATCTTAGATCTGTTGTTTCAATCCAATTAACTGCATATGTTTTAGTCTCCAGAAAGAAATTCACCTGGGTATAAGTCAGAATGATAAAAGATTGCCCTTCTTTACCAAGTTTGGCAATGAGAATCTAGAATTTAAGCCAACTCACATATAATAATTGAAGACCCATAAATAAAGAAAATACAATTTTATTATTAAATTTATAAGTTAATTGAAGTAATAAATTTGAATTCATGTTGTGTCACACTTTTACTAATTGTTCTTACTTGATCTTCTAAACCATGCACTATAAAAATTTTATTTTTTATACCTGGAAGTTGGGATGTTTTCTATCAGTGCATCATTGATAAAAACTACTCTAAATCTCTTGGTCAGATACGTTTGCTGACAAGAAATTACCTTTTTCAACAAAGTATTTCACTTATACTTTGTCTACCTTGTAACTTGAGGAGTCTCAGACAGTGTCTTGTTTCATAAGTATAAAATAAATCCAGCAAGAAACAGGACCCATGTTGCACTCAGGTATCCTACTTTACTAAAAACAACACATTCAAAATATTTATCTTACTTGATGCTTCTCTTTTTCACAGGTGGGAAGATCACAAGCGCTCAGTCAACCCTTCATGCTCTCTCCATATCGTCATCAGTAGGAACACTGCTCTTGGCATTGATGATTCCTTCAACCTCCTGGTGAAACTCCTGGTTTAATTTGCTTTTATTTGCTTTAGCTTAAAAACAGCGGGGAATAGAATGTGTAAGTGGAGAGCCAGGATCCTGAGATGAGCTTTACAACCTTGGGACTACACGTGGTGCACTTATAGGAGGTTGGGGGTAGGAGAAATATTACTTATCCATCAGGTTGCTGTTTGACTTTTGTAAATGGAGAGGACAGTTCTTGGTCCAATAAAAATATGCAGATTGTATGTAATGAATTTTTGTAAGCAAAGGTAATTTCTGTCAAATGTATTCTTAATTTTATATATGTTGAATTTGATTTTATATCTGATGACTGTGTGCCATCCATTTTTTAAGAAAATGGTCTCTAGCAGATCTATTTCAAAAACAAATATAATGTTGACAATGGAAAGATTTCTTAAGACTCTGAATCCAGTTTTTTTCATTTTCCCTTCAGCTGACCATTATAATTGCCAAACGTGGAAATATGAAAAATACTTTGGCAATAAGGTCCATCACAGGATAAATACACAAAAAATTCTCAAAAAATATTATACAATTGCATAGTGTAATAGCAAGTTTTGTCAATATGTTATTCTATATTCACCCCTAGAGCAAGTTATTAGGGTAAAGAATAAGCCATTTTTATTAGGGCAAGGTAAAGAGTGAATCCAAATGAACTTACTCTTAAGCACTAGGTTATATAGCAGCAAATATAGTAAATGTTCATTTTTAATATCAAAAGATATCTTAAAGTCACAAGAATATATGGTCACTAAAGACTACAAACAATGTCATGCTGCCACAGGTGCTAATTTAAAAATACAGTGAATATGGAACAAAGCTTTCTCATTTCTCTAACTATTCATCTAACTTCAAACAGATGTTGAATCAAGTCCAAGGCTATCTTAATTGAAAATAATTTTAAGCACAGTAAAATTTTTGTTGTACAAATAATTATACACACATATAGTCTGTGAATTAAAATGATTCAAAGCAAATAAATTTTGATTTTAGACAGTTTTATACACCATATGCCACTTACAAATTCTGGTTAACTACTAAAATAAAGAGGATTTACTGGATACGTTGATTTTTAAAATTAATCTTTGGAAACATGGTATCAGTATAAGGGCTTGGGTAGTGTAGCCCACCATGCTTAATTCTGTGGCTTGGGAAATGATCCCTACTTGCTATTTTGAGGCATCAACTTGAATCTAAGTGATCCTAAGTAGTTATTAGAAAGCTAAATGAAATTGTTCCACTTGGTGAGATATGCTAAAGCAGTTATTACATCCATGAAATGGATGAAATGAATGAAAAAATAGTTACGGTAACTTCATTTGCCAGAAAAGAGCCTGAAGAAACTAGTTTCACAGGTGATAACATGTGTTTTGTCTCCTTTTCATTTTCTTTGTAAAGTCCAAACCCATTAACTCTATTTGCATCCCTAATGACAAACAAACCAAAACAAAACTGAATTCAAATTGCTGGCTCTAGAGGTTAATATTTGTAGAATCAGAAGACAAATGAAAGTTTATATTCTGAACACCCTAAGTTTATTTTCAAAGCTATAGTATAACTACATATGGCAATTACTCATTGGTTTGGAGAAAATTATAACCAAGACAAGCAAAAACAAACAATAAGTGATTTATAAGACTATGTGAGTCAACAGATTTTTTTTTTTGGTACCGGGGATCAAACTCAGGTCCTTGTGCTTGCAAGTCAGGTGGTGGAACTACTGAGCTAAATCCCCGGCCCCAACAGATTAGTATAGTAAATATTACAGATGGTGAATATTTAAGCCTTGAATAATAACAACCCAATGACCTTTCTTGAATGTCTCCTTTATTGTAAAAGAGGCTGGACTCAGCAATTAGAGGGATGCTAACTGTTTAGTGAGCAAAATGTGCGCTCTCCCCATTAAGATGTAATATCTTACAAGAACAAATTGTGGATCTAAGAAATGAAGGATATTTAAAATTGAAAATAACTGTTTCTATTTGATAAATTAACATCTCCATGATGTTCTAAACTAAATTTAGTGATGTACTTTAAGAATCAAGTTATTACTAACACTCTTACAAAACAAACCCCAGTTAAATATAATAATGTCAATATGTGGTAAATTCAAATTTAACAATAATTCCAAATAGCTGATGGATGGTACCATATCTGACAGAATATTTATGTATCCAATGTCTGTTTTATTCTTAACAGGAATCAGAGATATGGGATGTTTTTACTCAACATGCACAAAATATGTATTTTGCATCATAAATCTATTTAAAAAACAGGTTCCAATGTTTATGTACTTATGTATTACATATTTGTTACTTCATAGAAGCAAATAGCATTCCTTATCCTGGTACATTATTTTTCAGCTATAGTACTCAGTGAACTTTTTCTTGGTTGGGATAGTAACCACACAGTCTTAAATCACTAGAGAGACTGTATTTTTTTATATCAATTGAACTATGAAGAACACTCCTTACAATTAGAAATTTCTTGAAAGCAAATGTTTTGCGTATCCAGCTGAAGGTACTGTGGATTCCATGACAAACCTTTAAATATATTGTATACAATCTGTATATATACTATATATAATAGTATATAACATGTGGAAGGCACAGTCAGATAATAGTTCTGTGTACTGTTCTTGTAACATTAGATCTTTTTAATAAATAATTCTGTTTTTATTGACTTTTATCTTCTCTCCTGTCAACTACATGAATGACTTAATTTTAGGCAGAGCAGAGAATGCTCATGATTATGGTAGTGTTTTCAAAAAAAATCTTTTTGTCGAGACCTTGAAGGCTGTAATGATTTTGGCTTCAAAAATCTCCATAAACATCCAATGGCAGCTGCAACTTGAAAATCTGAAGCTAAGGCAAAGAACAAAACAAGCAAAGAAACAAGTACAAATGGGATAAATTCAGGTTTAACCCATTCAGCACCAGGCTAGAATTTGTAAGTCTCACGGCCAGGTGGCTTTGAATAACCAGGGGTACATATATGACTGTCCCATTGGACGACATGGGATGGTCCCATTGGACAACATGGGACAGTCCCATCAGGTGATCCCAACTCACAATTTGTTCTTCTTAAAAAAGTTAACTTCATTAAATCAGTTTTGTGAAGACTCTGTTAAATGCATAATTTTAGTTAGGACTAGTCATTACCAATCTATTCTAGATATAGTTTTTGTAGACAGTTATTCATTTTTTGTGCTCCTTTAGGACCAAGTGTGCATCACATGTTTATTATACTAGCATAGCAATCACATGATATTACAATCATTTGATATAAATATTTCTCCTACACTGTCCAGACTCTGGGATCATGCAGGGGAGACTCGTTATTTTTGTCTTTGGATTTGTCTCATCAGTGCCTAGTATAGTAATTAGCACATATCAGGTAGGCAATAAATCAGACATAATGTTAGCCTTAACATTTCCTTTACAATAGGCTTCTTAAATATGGGTGATCACCTAAAATTACCCAAGTGTCCACATCTCTGAGTTCTGATGCAGTATGGCAGAGACTAGGGAACCTTTATTTTAAAAATCTTTTCAAACAAAAGCTAATAAAAATCTATTAAAGGAAATCTGGCAATATATAGTAAAACTTTTGTAGGAATTTACTCATTTTCCTAACAATCCTACACCCAAGAATCTATCTCTAAGACAGACTAGCAAAAGTGTAAAATATGAAATGAATAGACAAGCTGCAGAACAATGAATATATGCCTTTTGTGTAAGAAGCAGGAAAATACATATGCACATATTTGGTAATATTTTCAAGGAGAAATAATGGAAGAACCAACTAAAGTCCAATAAAAATGGTTACTTATTGAGGAAGGAGAGAACGGGATATGAGAATAAATATATGAGCAAGCTCTTTCTCAGCATCTTTGTTTCATAGTTTTTCTTTGGACCCATATAAAGATTTTATTATTAATTTAAAAATTAAGTCAAAAAAATTAAGCAACCTCTAGAAACTGAACATGATGGAAAAATGAACCTAAATATATATCCACCAAATGGCTTATGGGTTAAGGACTTTCTTTATAGAAGAATTATGAGAGCAGAGAGAAGTACTTCAAATGAGTATTTGACAATACATCCCACATAAAGGCACACACAATCTTAAGGAACACTTATTATTCTTCTTATGAGCAGTATAACTGGAAATGTATTTTTTAACTAGCCAAATATAAAAATATAAATATTAAAAGAGCATATTTAAGATAAGAAGAGATGCACATATAAATTTTAAGTTAAATGAAAACCCATAAACTTTGATTAGAAATGTTAGTATGAATTTATAATTTATTTAATCTTTCCTTTAAAATAACCTCTTTTCTAGCTTTGTTCACTGAAAAGATCCAGAAGAATAGTGAACACTTCTAATGCAAAAATAAAACAAGTCAGGCATAAATACATATAAACTATGGTATCCAACTCCATGTACATGAAAAAGAATCAAGACTTTCTTGGGAAACTAATGCTGCAGGTAGGAAGTATACAAGATGACTCTGGGACTTATTATACTTAAGAAGACTATTGCAGTTATGACAAAAGGACAACCTAGAGACCTTCCTCTGGCAATGTGGGACAACTTAATCTCAAAAAGAATAATGGACAGCATGAATTAAAATATTTGGGTTATCTAAAGCTCAGGTATTCCTACTGTTGCCTGAACATAAATTATTAGCTTTCTTTGTTGGTTGAGGTGTCACCCTTCTGAGAATTGTCACAGAACAAAAAAGAACTGAGAACTTATCCTGCCTTTTCTATAAGAACTATGTTCCAGGATAACCAAATAGTTGATAAAAAGCACTACTACTTTCTACTTTACAGTAAATCAATGTAAAAAATAAAATTTTCTTTAAAAACAAGTTACTTTGACAATGACTTTCAGATATTAAAGCTATTAGGTAAAAGGCAGATGAAGAATGCATAGTAGATATATCAGGCTGCCATTATCTGAACCCAGTGATTTTAACATCACTGAGAGATACACAGAGAATAGGTATATCCTGATATGATAAAATCGGATACACATACAGAACTACCTCTTTAGTGTTCTTCTTTACAAAATTATCATGAACCTGATCAAAATCCTCTCACTGCTATATTGCAAGAAATGCTGGAAGAAAAAAGGACATTTGAGTAGAACCACAAGAAAAGAATCAGATAAATTCTTAATGTGGTATATTCCACAGGACAAAAACCCATTTTCCTTCACAAATAAATAGCTTATAGATGAACAGTGGGCAACTGTTAGCACATTATGATGGACTAAAGAACAATACCCACAAAACATAGTGTGTGAAACTTCTTAGGGATCTGATTCAAACAGACCAACTATAAAAAGATGCCTTTGAGACTCTGGGGCAGCTTTGAATAGGGAGTGGGTATTAAATGGAAGAGAAGGAATGATAGTCATACTAACAGTTTTTCATTAGTACATGTTTGTGCATATAACAAATACATTTATTTTGGGTAGCTGGAACATATACATAACACATCTTAATTCTTTTCACATCCCTTTCCCTTCCCTTCTCTCCCTGGTCTCCTCATCTCTTGATCCCTTTCCCATTTGCAAGAGATCTATCTCCCTATTTCCTACTATCTATCATCTTTATCAGGTAGAATCACATAGAAAAGTATATGCAGGTAAAATGATATGATTCTGAAGTTCGCCTTAAAATGACATAGCAAAAAAAATTTTTTTATGAAGAGACAGACACCAAACCAAGTAAACCCTATCTTAATTTTCTGTTTTTAATAAACTTTTGTTTTTTGAAAATTATAACATGTCATCTTGATATGTTCTATTTCTTTTCTAACAATTATGTACTAGTAACAATACTGAGTTGTATCTTTGTAAAACATAGATTGTTCATGATTCATACCTATGCAAGAAGAAATTTTTACATGTTACTACATTATATGGATCAAGATAAAATTCACTAAATAGCTGATTGCTCCCACCACATAAAATCAAACTGCAATTTTAATAAACAATTAATGATTGCTTACATTGCCATTACCTCTTGACCTGAATGCCAAAGTATAGTAAAAGAATTTAGCAGCTCATATTGTCAACTGGTGACTCAGTTGCAGTGTAACATTCACAAATATTCAGAGATGGCCAATTTCCTATCATGAGAGCTTCAACTGTTTTTTAATCTTGAATTAAGCTCATGTCGGTTACCAGAAAAAATCTCACATACAGCCAAATATCTGGATCCCCCTTCTATGATCTCTGTGCCAAGTTACACATTTATCTCTAACAGGAACTAATAATTGCTGACGAAAGCAGATCACAATAGTTTAGAAATATCCCAGTGTTATACATTACCTTTGTGGCAGAAACTGGCTCACCAAACTTCTTTCCTTCTCTCCTGGGAATATGACTGAATACAAATATACCCCAGCTCAGCTGCTCTCTGACCTGGCATGGGCAAAAGCTGTATCTTAGCTGATTACATGTGATTAAAGTGATGCATGCTATCTAGTAGTATCCTAATATAACCTGGAATTTACTTTCAATAAGGAACATCTTTTTTGTCAAACAATGGGTCCTTTCAGATTATTGTAAGAACAAAAGGAAAAAAATTTTTTTAAAATAACTCTAGAAGTTAAAAATTATATTTTACAATTATCAACAGATTTTGTATTAAACACACAATTCTCTCAGAACTCCTTTTGTCTCACCTGCCTCCTACACCTTGAAATGCTTGTTTTACCTCTGCTGCCACCCAATTGACTAAATTCTACTGCATGAGAACAAACAACAGCTTGACCTGCTCTCAAAATCAGACTAATGAAGCACACTCTTAGGGCTCTGCTCTCTCTCACAACCTCTTTATTCAGTCTTATTCAGTCACAAAGTCACAGTGCAAGACATAGGATTTGACTGAACAACCAGCACCTGAAACTATTGAATGACATAAAAGTACACAATGCTAATACTTTGGTGGGTGAACATTGACCAGTAGGAAATAGAGACAGAATAATAAATTCCTCTCTTTTCTCCAATGCATGGATACGTCTGTATTTATGTGGGTCACATGGCCATTTAGATGCTTTGGGTAAAGATGTCATTGTATCAAAGCTTAACATAAAACAACAGAAACTGAAATGCATCACGTACCCTCGTTTCCATTCTTTCCTACCTCACTTCCTTTTTCCTCTAGTCACGCTATCCCAAGATTGCACCAAAATCTGTTTCCTAGGCAACTTGGACTGAAACAGTCCCTATTATCCACTGAAGGTAACTATGGCTTCTTGGAGAAATAGTTGATTCGGGGTCTGGGACCAGAATTGTACAAGACAAGTGTGTACCATCTAGCAGTGTTAGAAAACAACAAAGCTGAATAGATAAACAGAAGATAGATAAAATGAGATCTATCTTGAAAATGTTCCCTGTGGTACATGGAGATTAAATAAGAAATTTGTAAAAGTCATTACTCTTCAATCCCTAATTAAATATTGATTCAGGCAATTTTTATCAATGGTTGCTATTAAAAGTGACTGATGAAGAATCTGACATTAGATTGTCACCTGAATTTACCAATAACTTTAGCAGAACTTAAAGTGGGAAAATCACACATTATTTACAAACTGATAAAATACATAATACCACTAAAAAGTATTCTTGATAAAAAGCTAAAGTCTAATTTATGTAGCTTCTCTGTCTATCAGGTGCAGATAACATAGAAATAGAAACCTATAACAAACGGACAGGGATTTAGCTCAGTGGCACCATGCCTGCCTCACAAGTGCAAGGTCCTGAGTTCAATCCCAAAACAGTAAATATTCACAAGGCAGAGTATCAGACTGTGAAGGATATGTCCCAAAATTGTAATGGCAGCATATGTTGTTGCTTGTATAAAGCTTAGTGATAATTTTTAGACTAACATCCATGGTGCCTTGTTGGCATTAGCCCTACCATTGTATCCTGCTGTATAATAAATAATCTTAGACATTTATCAATTGTTGATACAAATGTTAGTCCCTAACCACTTTTTATATGTTTTAAATTTTTGAAATTCAAGTGTACCTGCCATAACAAACACAAGACTATATAAAAATAAATAAATAAATATATGCATATGAAACCATGAAGAAGTAATTGATCAAATCCAGAATGTGGGAAATTCTTCAGCATTTTATCATAACATGTAAGGAATAATAGAGGAAAGGGGCATTGCTTGAATTCTAATTCAAATAAGTCATTGATATATTTCTAAAGGATCAGGGAAACAAATGGGCTAGCTAGATGATACACTGGTTTTGTTAGTTGTGACAAGTTACGGTTTATTTTATATAAATACTTGGTTTTTTGAAAGATATAAAAATCAGGACATGGTGGCAAACACCCGTAATCACAGAATTCTGGGAGGCTGAGATAGGAGGATTTGAAGTTCAAGACTAGCCTGAGAAATTTGAGAATTATCCAGACACTCTCTTAAAATTTAAAAAATTCAAACTAACTTGGGATGTAGTTCAGTATGAAGGACCTAGGTTCAATCAACAGTATCAACACACACACACACACACACACACACACAATGCACGATAGCAGGTATTTACTAAAGCAATGCAAAGATAAAAGGAGGAAAAAATGGAAGAAGAGAAAGAAAAGTTAAAGGCAGACAAGTAGTCATGGCAAAATATTGGTAATTGAGTCTAGAGTGTGAATACAAACAGACTTATCAGACATTCTCTCCAATTTTATTTGAGAGTTTTTACAATGAGACTTAAATTAATTACAATTCAGAAAAACAAAAGACACAAAATGATCTCTGCATATATATTTTGAAAGAAGAAAAGCAGTATCACTTGAGGCAAACTTTAAAATATAAAATACAGATCTAACGTATGTGAACATTTGTCCTGACTTCCATATGGTTTTCATTTGTGATTTATTATAAGAAACAATCTTTAGAAAATATGCTAAAGTTGTAAAATATAAATTTTAAAATAAAATAGAATTTATTGCAAAGTTCTAAAATCAAAATTTTAACCTAAGTAAAAAAGTTTAAAACCATTTTTCATTATCTTTCTAAGGTTGTCTATTCAATGGCTAATTGAAATTTTAGTTTTAAAATAATGAAAATACATCCTCTTTGAAACTCTCTTTTCTTAACTTCTACAACTGTTTTGTCCTTATTTTTCTCCTGTCACATATTCTCAGCCATCTTCTCGGCTCCATTTTCTCTGCTAATGCACCCCAGAGTTTCTTTTTACCCCCTCTCTCTTGTCACTCATCCACATTGGCTGCGGAATCTCTCCCTAGCCAGGCTCCAAGCACTTTTAGATGCTTCTGACTTTCAACCTCCACCTCTAACCTCTTTCTCTCCCTTGAGCTCCAAGGCAGAATTTTAGTGCTTCCCAGCCATCTGAACTTGACTATCTCAATAACTCATCAGTTGAAAATGCCCCAATAACCTTCAAGCTTCATCTTTTAGTACTCCTGAATTTTTAAATGGTTTTTCAAGTCATTAACTTAGGAGTGATCACTTTCCACATACAGTGACAGCATCATGCTCTACTAATTCTTTTACTTTTACAAGTTTTCAGGCTGTCACCTTCCATAGTTGAGCTTTTGTTGTTTCTCAAGTGTCTCTTGACTGTCCCCTTTTCCACTCAAACTCCTCTAATGCCATGGTGGAACCTGCTTTCAAACTGGTACTTTTATAAAAACAAACTTAGCTGTGACTTTTTCTTGAATTCCTTGGAGACTCTTTTTCACTTTCAGTATAAAGTCCACCTGCCTTAATAGTTTGTTCAAAGCTCTCATAATCTGGTACTATTTTTTTGTAGTTTTTTTTTGAAACAGGGTCTTGCCATGTAGTTCAAGCTGGCCTTGAACTCACTATGTAGTCCATGTTGGCCTCAAACTTGTAGAGATCCTCCTTCCTCAAACTTCCAAGTACTGTCACTCAGACTTGTACCACTATGGCCAGCAATTGGTACTATTATTTGAACCACTTACTCACTATTTGAACCATCCTGAACCTACAGCTTCATTGCTCTGCTTGGACTATCCTCTGCCATTTTATAGAGGTAAACTTCAAACTTCAACCTTTAAAATATTGTGTGATCCCCCTCAACTTTTTCATCTTCTAAATCTCCAAGTAGACGCGAGAGTTCTGTTGAGCATGCTATCCATAAATCTTTACTGAATTTAAACAAAATTGTTGATAAGCATCTGTCTTCTTCAGTAATCTTTCAAGGGAAAGTCACCTCTACCTACATATCCTTGTGCCTAATATACTGCCTAGCATGTAACAGACACTCAATAAATATTAAATGAATGAATAAATTGATGAATGTATCATATAAGCTTATGACTATTTCCCAGGTTCAAAGTACACTCATTGTTACTTGTAAAACTCTTCTGATTCTTTATGTGATTTATTTCCTAAACTCACAGAAACTTTTAAAATAAAAACACATTGCCTTTTGCTTATGGGATTGGAAAATTCTCATAATAACATACATGGCAGAGAGAGCAAGTAAGGGAAATCCCCCAGAAATAAAACTGAATATTGAAAATGCAAAATTGAAAATTCTGGTTGGCTTATCCATGTAGTGATTTTATTCTTTTTTTAATGAGAAAGAAAATTAAACTCTCCACTTCAGGGTGAAAAGTGGTTGGGGTGAGACAAAAAAAAAAATTGCCTAGAAAGAAAAGAACCGGGAAAAAGCAAAACTAATATGCAAAGAAAAATGCTAGGTCGATTTAATCTTCACTGGAACTGGAGGAGAAAAATCACAAAACAGGCCAAAGTTTAGTTTTAAAGGTTTTGTGGCAACAAGGAAACAATATAAATGCATCAACAAAATTGGTAAAGTTTTAAGGCTATTTGTACATTTACTGATCAAATAAGAAGCTAGGGTGAGTGTGTGTTTCCTAGATTCAGGGACTTTTGCATTTGTATTTATAATAGAAGAGAAATGCTAGCTCATCTAGCTCACTGCTGATATTTTTTTTTACTTATCACTTACTCATCTCTCATCTACTATTCATAGTCAGCATGTCAACCTTTCCTAAATCCTCCCGACCTTCTTACTTTCAGAGGTACCAAGTTCAAAAAGCAGAAAATTTATCTCTTGATATAAGTATTTTCAACTCCCTGCTTTTTACTTGAAACACAGTAAAAATGTCTATTATATAGGAGACAACATTCTAAACCCTGAAAAGACAGCAGTAATGTGACAAACAAGGTCTCTATATTCATGAAGTTTATATCTGTCGGGAAAAAAAAAGATAGTGAAATGTATTTCAGAAACTGGTGCATTCTATGACAAATAGTACTATAGAAGAATAACTTGGGGAAAGGATTACTTATGAGCAATCTTTAATATAATACTTGCCTTGAGACCTGATTTCAATAAAAAGTTTTCTAGGCAGAGGAACAGATTAGTGCAAAGGCCTGGGGC